TCCCGGCACCATCCCACTACCGGTAATGCCACCTGGCTCCAGATTAGTACAAACTAACCAGCAAACAAACGCACGGTGCCGGCACCCCAAAATGCGGCTCGCTGCGGGGGTATAGGCTCAGCTTCTCCCAGTCCCCGGCTCCCCAGGGCTCCCACAGGCACCTGCCTTTACCTGAAGCACCAGCGGCGGGCAGGCGGCCCATAAGTGCCCTTCCCCACCGCGACATTTACCTGAAGCACCAGCGGCGGTCAGGCGTCCCATCAGTGCCCTTCCCCACGGTGACCATCTCCCCCGAGCGGAAGGCTCTCCGCAGGAACACAGGGAAGGAGCGCTCGATGTCCAGGATGGTGGTGGCCCACTGCCAGGGACACCAGGGACCCCTCAGCCACTTGGGGATGAAGGCATGGGGGTCCCTTGCCCAGGTGGTGCTGCTTTGATGGAGCTTGGGGTGCTGCAGTGCAGCTCCTGGGGCGGTACCTGCAGCTTCCAGATGTGCTTGCTCTCCTTGGAGACTTGGCCCACGGTCTCACCCATGAGAGCAATAAGCATGTTGAGGAGGAGCACGAAGGTGAGGATGATGTAGGTGACGAGGAGGATGATGAAGACGCCGGGGTACTTGGCACTCTCAAGCATCTCCAGGTCACCCATGCCAATGGTGAGCTTGAAGAGGTCGAGCAGGAAGGTGCTGAAGGTCTGGCTGTCCCGGCAGGAGGGGTAGGCGGGCACCGTGCAGTTGGACTGCTCCTCACTGCAGGACTCGCTGCTGGGACACGGGTTGAGGAGGGACACCAGAGCTGGGGGAGGAAGGACAGGGGTGGCGAGTCCGTGGGGGCAGTAGCAAGGATGATGGGCCCCGATGTGGCTCTGCACCGGCTGAGTCCCCTCCCTCTCCACCGCAGGAGGTGGCAAAGGCTGAGCCTACAGGCAGGTAGGACAGAGCCGGGGTTCCAGAGCACCCTGCCCGGCCGTGCCATGTCGTGCCGCAGGGCTCATCCTTCCCCCGAGCGCTGGCTCACCGGCCAGGCGCCTACCTGATGCGTAGCCGATCATGAAGAGCAAGTAGACCAGGAGGAAGCGGAAAAGGTCTTTGAAGAGGATCTGCAAGGGATGGAGAGGGGGGTGAGGTGTGGTGGACCACAGTGCCCAGCTGTGTGCTGGGGCACCATCGCCGAGCCATGCCACAGGGACAGCCGGGCTGAGAACAGAGCATTGGTGAGCCACAAGAAACCTAAAGAAAGCACGGAGGGCCCTCCTTTTGGGCCACACATCCATAGGAGGACCAGCCCTGCTGGGGAAGGAGAAGACCCCCGACCCCACTGGACCTTCTGGATCATGATGCTGTAGGTTCCCGTCAGCTTGAGCCCCCGGGTGAAGTACAGAGCGTTCATCCAACCCAGCACCAGTGCGAAGACCATGACGGCCAGGTAGGCCTCGATGCCGCCCAGGTACAGCCCCGCCGTGATGATGACCAGCACCGAGTAGATGAAGCTGGAGGAGAGCCAGGTTCAGACCCTGCACTGACAGCCACCGCCGGCTACTGCCCCTTGCAAGCCCGGGGGTGCTGTGGCTCAGGGAGGCCCCGGGGGTTCCCCACGTACTAGAGCAGCTGGAAGGAGCCGTCTATGAAGAAGGAGTTCACGCCTGGGCACTTCTTCATGAACAGATCTTTGATCTGGGGGAGAGAGGGAGAGGTTGGGAGGAGCTGGGGGGAGCAAGCCCCTGCGCGGCAGGATCCCGGTGTCCGGGGGGAGTCGCGGCAGGGGCTGATGCCTCAGGAGATGGGGCTGTCGCCCTCGAGTTGCTCCTGGCGTGGAGATCACGAGGGCTCAGCTGTCCCACGGGAGGACCCCCCGCCTTGCTGCACTGACGTTTGTGAAGAAGAAGAGGATGCCGGTGAGAAGGGTGATGATCTCCCCGGCCAGGCGCAGGTAGTCGACAGTGGTGGTATACGGGTAGGGGGGCTGCAGGGAAAGGACAGAGCTGAGCTGCTCCACCACCCCAGGGCAGGCAGGGCTGCTTGGGGCAGGGAGGAGGTGCTGGCCCATGGGACTGTGCCACGGTCTCGTGGGACTCACAGGGCCTTCCATGGGGCGGTAGTAGGCGACGAGGGTGAAGATGACCATGGCGCAGAGGTAGGAGATCACGCTGATGTAGAAGGAGACGGCCCCGAACTTGCGCCACTTGTCACGCAGCAGCTCGTTGATGGGCTCCACGGCCAACATCTCGTGACGGTTCTGGTGGAAAAAAAAGCAGGGACCGGGCCCCGTGGCGCCCCTAGTTCCCCCCGGCCCCTGCGCACCTCGATTTTGCTGTTGTAGACAAGGATCTCCAGCACGGACACCTCCTCTCCACAGGTGTCCAGCGAGGAGAGGTCGTAGAGGGAGGAGTAGACGGGGCCGTACGCCCAGTCCTTGAACTTCCGCGAGAGGTGCCGGGCGTCCTCATCCGTGATCTCCCGCCGGATGATGTGCTGGAAGATCTGCCAGAGGGAAGGACCGCTCGCCCACAGGCGGACCCACACCCGGCCCCCACCTGCTCGGGGCACCCCGCTCTCCCCCCAGCCCACCCCAGGCACATCCCCTCCTGCTGCTGCAC